TTCTCTTTCTCTCTCTCCCATTCTCTCTGAAAAGCAATGGGAAGAATATCCTCGGGTGAGGGTTAAAAAAAAAGAAAGAAATTAAAATGGAGAAAAATTTAAATATATACTTAGTTTAAAATGATAAACCAATTATATATTAACATCGCATTATTATGAAAAATAATATTTTCAAAAACTAAAAAAAAGTTTAGTGAGGAGAGTTACACTGATGAGCTTTTGAAAATCTCTAATGAAAGCTTAGAAGGCAGGTTAATTCTAACATCTGCTCGTGTTCAAACTGTGGTACTAAGTTGTCTTGGATGAAATAAATGAAGAAAATTCATCCTCACAGATACGTAATTAGAAAAGAGAGCAATATTTTAACGCTCGCACTGGTCTCTCTTGCCCTTTCAAGTTCTGCCCATGTATGACTCTGTAACATCACACACTGGCCACAGATGCTGGCATGTTCCCTCACACACTATCCTACATTGTATTCATGAGCGTCGCCGCCGGTCCATCAGAGCAGTCTCCACTGGGAAGTTGTCAAGCCCATCAGGTCGGTGGCAGAATCAAGTTCTAAAAATTCTCACTTTTACTTGGAAGCTTGACATTCATCACAGGTAACACTTCCTTGAAGTAACAGGCTTATTTTCTAGAAAATGTCTGCCATGGACTGAAAACTGAATAACCATAGCTTGTCATCTGTTATTGTTTTTTCAATTAGAAAGTGCACCATGAAAAGAGTGGCCAGGTTTGGTGTGCACCAGCCACTCAGCAACACACGTGGCTGCCCTGAGACACCCATGGGACGCGGAGGCAGCAGCAGGCGTGTTTTATGCACAGTACTTCTGTTTGGCCACATGGGGAAAAAAGATGAATATGCAGGGTGGAGATTTTTAAACATGAATAATTTGTATTGCTTCATCAAGGGTGTTAAGTGAAACTGGCTTTAATAGTCTTTGTATGATTATGAAAATGGTTTGCCTTTGTAGACCTTCTACACGGGGCCTTGGGCTCCTGCCCAGGCCACTCTGAGAACCACTGTCCTGGGGAAGGCTTGCAAGTCTCCCCTCATGCTCCCGGCCTTCACCCTGCAGCAAATCCAGCTTTTATCAAGTTGATTACTTGTGAGAGTCCCACATAAGATTTCTCTTGAATGAAAAGCTAAACAATTTTTTAAATGAAAAATAGATTTAATAATAAACTAGGTAACATCTAAAGTTATCCTCTGGTTTTAAATTCCTAGCATCCAAAATAAACACTAAAACTGATCCCCAACTAAGTTTAGTCCCCATACTTACAACCTAGATTTTAACAGGCATCATCTGTATTAATTTTTAAAGTCCATTACTTAAGATGTCCAATAGGAATCATGAGAATGGCTAATTCCCTTACCACACAATTAAAATTCTAGCTTCTATGCAATTTCAGGTACAAATATAACTAGTGTTGAGTGGTTAACAAAAACAGTATCCTAAGTTAATAAACTGATTTACACTATATAATAGTGACATTAAAATGCTGTTTCCACATCTTCTTTTAGAACACTCACAAGGAATTACTTCACATTTTGAAATATTTTCATCCTTAATACTGATACACACCTTTAGAATCATTTTTGTTCAAAATGCAAATATAATCAATTCCAGGTGCTCGACATTTCTGCAAGTACCACCAGCCCTGGCCTTGTCATTACGCTACTTACTGAGCCCTCCATCTGGCAGCATGTGAAAACAAGGCCTGAAACCCCTACTAGCATTATGGTACCTATGTGATTATTTAACACTTTTGTCTTAATATAAACCTAAATGAATGGCTGTGGATTTCAGTTATCCATATTAAATATTACTTCAATAACTATGAGTAATTAATTATACATAAGACTTCAATGGGTTTTAGCTGCAATACCACACCTACACTTTGACTAGCACACACTTCAAGAAAGACATAACAAAGCTGGAGAAAATCTATACAGGGCAACTAAGTTCATTGGAAATATGCAACTGATTTGCGAGACGATTAAAAACACAGCACTCAAACGACAGGTGCTGGCGAGGGTGTGGAGAAAGGGGAACCCTAGTGCACTGCTGGTGGGAATACTGACTGGTACAACCACTATGGAAAGCAGTATGGAGGTTCCTCAAAGAATTAAAAATGGAGCTGCCTTTTGACCCATGATCCCACTTCTAGGACTATATCCTAAGAATCCTGAAACACTAATTTGAAAGAATATATGCACCCCTATGTTCATAGAAGCACAATTTACAACAGCTAAGATCTGGAAACAGCCCAAGTGCCCATCAGTAGATGAGTGGATAAAAAAGCTGTGGGACATTTACACCATGGATACTACGCAGCTGTAAAGAAGAAAAATCTCATACCCTTTGGCACACTATGGATGGACCTGGAGAAAATTATGCTAAGTGAAATAAGCCAGGCACAGAAAGAAAAACATCACATGATTTCGTTTATATGTGGAATCTAAAGAACTTAATAAACAGATGAACAGAATAGATTCAATGATATGGAAGCACGAACCAGACTGACGAATGTCAGAGGGATGGAGGAGGGAGGGTGGGTGGAGGGGGAGAGTGTAACCAAAGAATTTATACGCATATATGCACAACCCAAGGACACGGACAATGGTAGGGAGAGGGACTGGGGAAGGGGATGGGATGGGGTGGAACGGGTCATTGGGGAGAAAAAGGGGCATCTGTAATATTTTAAACAAACAAACAAAAATTTAGCCTGGCTGGGCGTGGCTCAGCCGTTGAGCGTCGACCTGGGATCCAGGAGATCGGGGT